CACTGCCCTGCCAAGACATCACCGATGGTCTCCTGCTCCCCAGCCTCGGGCAGCGAGAGCACACCTCCACCTCCTGGGGGGACAAAGAGCTGATGCAAGGTGAGCCCCGAGTGACTGGGATGTCCCTGTCCTCATGTGTGTGCACTTCAGTGTGGCACTGAACCTTCCCCAGGAGGTGAGCCCTGAGGCACAGGCCATGCAGGGACACCGGGGCACGGGGGCAGCGGTGGCAGAAATGACCCTGTGGCATCTCCAAGAGGTTCAAACTGTTCTCCTGGTCATGCTCCACGGCTGGTGATGGTGCAGCCCCAGCGGACCCAAAGGTGCCATCCTGTCCTACCCCTCTGCCTGAAGAACACCGTCCTCTGGTGTGATGGCTGCTCAAGTGCCACAGGTATGGTTTCAAGCCCCATTTTGGCTGTGCCCATCTGTCCCCTGGCCTGGGACCCGTGCTGTGAGCTGCTCTGAGCTTTGCATCCCACCGCTAGGGCTGAGCGGGGACACAGCAGCTGGGAACGATCACGGCATCGGAATATTGTTCATCAAAAAATGGCTTTTTTGCTGGGAACCGGCTGCCCTCTAGAGGGTCCGCTCTGGCACAGCGTAAAGCAACAAGCAGGGGGCTTCTTGGTCACGCCGTCCCCTCCTCGGGGTGGGCGTGAGGCAGGGCTGGGGGTCATAGAGTCATAGAATGGTTTAGGTTGGAAAGGACCTTGAAGATCATCGAGTTCCAACCCTCCTGCCATGGGCAGGGACACCTCCCACCAGACGAGGTTGCCCAAGGCCACGTCCAGCCTGGGCTTGAACATCTCCAGGGATGGGTCCTGCTCCCCACGGCTGCATGATACCTTTGCCGACCACCTCGGGCGATGGGTCCCCTCACCAGGATGAGCCAGTGGCAGTCACCATACGATGTGGACACAGCCCAGCCTGAGCCCCCTGCCCCCTGGGGTGGCCACCGCGCTGCACAGGCCATGGCCTCATGGAGGAGATGCTCCTTGGGACCAACCGGACCATCCTGAGAGGGAGATGTGAGAGGTTGCATCAGGCCAAGGGGTCATTTCCCCACGGGCTTTAGCTTAACCGTTCGCAGCGTGGCGCTGTGGGTACGGGCTGGCAGGGGGATGCGGGGCTGAGCGGGGCTGGGGAGCCGATGCCGATGTCCCCCAGCACCAGGGTGCCCGTATCCTCACCTCCAAACCAAAGCAGCCCGCAGGATGCCATCGCATCCTACCTGGGAAAAGGGAGAGGCATGTCCTGCCCAGGAGGGGCTGGGGACAGAGTGGAGAACTCCACCAATGCAGCAGGAGAAGCACTTCTCCTAGAGAAAGGGGAATTCTCCCCAGAAAGGGTCAAAAAAGAAGTTTACACAGCCCCAGAGATCCAGAAAAGACGGACCTTGGATGAAAACATAAACATCGGTACCATCCCAGTAAAATCCTGGTGGAAATGGGTGAGGAAAAGCACGAGCTTCTGATCGGGTGGAAATTCCCATCCGAAGGGGTTTCCAAGTCTCTATCACCGCAGACTGCGAAACTATGTAAAACAGCCAAGAAGAACATGCTTATTCCTGCACAGCGAAAACACCCATCCCGGCATGCCCGCGGCTCACAGGAGAGGGCCCTGCGATCCCGTAACAGCCCCGGTTTGAGGCGCTCCCCCCAGTGTTTCTTCCACCAGAGCTGCCGCCGTACCGAGGGGCTGCAGGACCCCCTCCCCCCGCCCAGACACACCACGCTGGCGCGGTTCTGAAAATCTCAGTAACACTTTTTAATATACAAGAATCAAAAGTACAGCAGTTTTACAATGTAGGAAAATTTAATACATACTATATAAACAACATATTTACATCAGAAATCACTAGGACAGTGGCATTTTTTCACAAATATAAATTAATATTAATTACTGTTTTTAGTCAACAGGTTTAAAAGTCCACATTTTTACAGTAAGAGTCCTTCTCTCCCCGGTGGGGAGATGGAGGTCAGGAGGAAATGGGTGAAAGCAGAATAGTATTTTTGCGGGGATCACTTAAAACTGTTCACATACAGACTTCAGAGCGCTGTCAAGTATCCACTTCGGTTGGGCACCGCATTGCCTGTCCCCGCAGCAGGTTTCAGTCTGCAGGACTTCCATCGCGTGAATTCACAACTTTACACCATTTCCAAAGGGGTCAGGCTGAAAAACACTTTTTTTTAAAAAAAAAAAAAAAACAAACAACAAAACAACCCAGAAAGTTGCTACTTTTTCCTGCAAAGAGGCTAGAAGGAATCCCGCAGCTGGTTCGGAAGGAAGAGCCGTACCAGATGTTGACACAAACACCGCAGTGAAGTTTATGGCTGTGGACCTGTCCCCTCCGACCCCACTCACACCCAAGTGACTCTGTCTGGTTATGGTCCCTGTGTTGAGGGGACATAAAATGCATGTGTGTGTGCACGTGCATGCTCAGGGAGGACTCTCTCCCAAATCTAGTTCTCCAGCTTCAATAAAGCCAAATCCAGTGACGACCCACCCACCACGAGTGAACTAAACTATGTGACTTCAGTATCAGGCTAACGTGACAGCGGGGACAGCTCTTTGGTGGATACGGGTAAAGCTTTTGCTGTTGCACAAGAAGGAAACCCCGACCAACCTCACACCGGGAACCCGGGACGAGCAGAAACCCCCACGTCTGGACACAGAAGACGCCTCTTGCTGGGGTTCAAAGTTTTCCTGCACCAACCGTAACACTGGTCTGGCCAGTATTGCCTTTTGCTACAAGTGTATGGCACGAACTTTCCATCACGATAGCACCGCTGGGTGAACAAAAAGAGCAATTCTCTTTGCCCCTCCGAGGTTTCTTCCATTTTCACATTAAAAGCTAATACCTCTGAAAAGAAAGGACCTCTTTGTTGAATACCACAGCAAGCGCGCCTGCAATCACAGCTTAGTGAGAAAACAGCGTGCAAACATGCTATCTCAACACCTCCCATCACCCAGCAGCTCCGAGGGGGATTGTGGAAGACTTCACCGCCTCCTGCACAGGTAAACACAAGCGTAACACTTTCTCAGGGCAGTACGGTGCCCCTGAAGGAAGCCAAACTGCCCGGCATTTGGTGAAAATCTCGCAAAATAAGACCGAAAGGGGAGCAAAACACTCCCGGTGCATCCCGTTAAAGCAGCGGGCTCAGAAAGGAGTGAGCGATGGCGGCAGATTTCGAGGGATGCACTGCACGGAGGGGGGATGAGGGGGGGTATTAGTGTCGGTTTGCGCGCGCCTTCCGAGGCGCTGGCTGGGGTCAGGAAACCAGCCCTGAACACCAATTTCCCCTCAGTCCTTCAGGGAAAGAACATCACAGCTTATTAGGGTCAGATACTGGCATCTTAACAGGAGGCCCAGCTTCTGTCCCCCACCAAAAAGAGGAGTCTGGAACCGCCTGGTCGTTAATACTGAGCTCCGGGAGTTGACGCATCCCTGGACACCACGCTCTGGACAGCCCGGCTGTTGGGAGAGCTTTGTGGTCTCCAGGGATGTGACTCTACGAACATGGACCTAGGACCTGAAAAATAATCACCCAAACTACTTCTGGCCAGAAATCTGTGAGCAACCCTTCTCACCACACCAATCTCCAGCCTGGACACTGGTCTGCATCACACGTTGTGGCTCAAATACTTGGAGGAGGGTTTGCTCTGAAGTCCACTAAGCTGGGCTGCGGGCTCCTCTTTTCCTTCTGCCATGCTGGGCTCCCAAGACGTTTGCTGCAAGGATTTTTAAGGACTGAATCCTGAATTCCTCATTCTCTCCCTGCTCACTGAGGTGCTGAGCCCTCGGGCACGTTTCCAATTTAGACAGAAGGTCTTTCAGCGAAGGTACTTTTAGCAGTTCAGAGCTACTGCTGGAACGATGGCAGGAAGGTGACCCTTTGCTGAACAGTGATCAGTCCGCTGGATTCCTGTTCAACTCTGCTCCACCATCCCTTACGCTTTTGTTGCAGTAGAAGTTTGTGATCACTGCTTCGTGAAGCGCAGAGAGAAGTGACTTGCCCAACGACTGGAGCACTTCAGTGCCAGGGAGATTAGGAGCTTCAGGATGCCCAGAGCCATCTTTTGACCTTGCAGCTCCCAGCCAGCACCTGGACCATCCAAGCTGCCCATGTCAGAAGAGAAGAGGAGTTTGGTTAAGAATTCCTGAGCCCTGTTCACTGGGAAATACTGTTCTCACCCCAATTTCTTTCCTACTGGTTAAAGGTAAACTAAGCCTTTACTAAGGAAGTCTTGTCTATTTTTCACATATCCCAAAGCCCCCTGGAGTCAAGATTTGCCAGTTCCAGCCCTGGAGATGGGAAGAAGATCCCACACACCTCTTCTGTTGCAGGGGACACAACAGCAATCAAAGCAGAGCCAGTTTCTTGAAATGGATAAAGACACAGAAATGATAATGCGGCTGGGAAAGCAATGGATTGTCACCAGCTCCAACTCCTTTGGAGTCACACTGCAGGGACATCGAGTCCCTCTTTCAACCAAGCTTGGCTGCTGAGGGACTCTCCTGTCCCTCCTCGAATATATCCTCCCATTGCCCTGTGCTGGTTACACGCAAAGCCCAGCCCAACCAGTTTATCCCCAATCCCAAAGCAGCATCTGTCACGTAACATCAAGTCAGAGCAGGCACACAGCCTTCTGCACAATCCTAAGCAGCATCGATCCGCCTTGTCGGTTTGGGGAAACACTGGCTGGGGAAAAATCCCTCGGGTCCATCAGAACAAGGAAAACGAAAACAAAACAAAGAACGAGGCAGCAAGGCTGGTTCCAGAGTTCAATGGTAAAACAGGGGAAAGGAAATGGGAATCCAAACTAGAACTGAGAGCTACGGAAAATCTACCTATACCTACTACCCCAAAATCCTCCTTGACCCAGCAAGATGATAGCAGCATGTTCAGAGTTTCTGATTGCTGGCTTGGGGAAACCAGCCACTGTTGCATCAAACCAAGTACTTCAGACGTGCGCTTTCCCCCCTCTCAGTCATTTTATGCTTTCCGAATGTTCCAGTTATAATCTGGATTGTTTTTCTGTTCTAACGACCTATCCAGAGGTGACCTGTGATCGAGAGGTGACTTGGAGTCGTGGGGGGATTTCTGAGAGGGGGGCGAGCGAGGGTCCGACACTGCAGGGTGAGGTGGGGGGAGAGGCTGTTTGTAATCTCCCGATTTGTCTGTGTGGAATGACCGGTAGTGGTCCGAAGGTCCTTGGCCATGGTATCCCATGGGTGGCCTGTGATCAGACATCCGTCGGAAATCCTGCTGGTGGTAGTTCTGAGGCCTGAACTCATCGGATCGTCGACGCTTGGAATCATGGTGGTGCCTGCAGAGAGAAAAAGAATGGATGGAGATCAGTTCCCCAAAGAAAGCCGGGCCACCGTGGCTGCGCACATCATTGCAAACCCTCCCCAGCCTTTCTGAGATGAAAGGGAATTACCTGTCATAGTAATCTCGGTGGCCTCTGTGGTCTCGGTCACTGTTGTACTGTTCGTATGGCCTCTTGCGGGAGAGGTTATTTGGTCTGTAGTTCCCAGAGCTCCGGTGGGGCTCTCCACGAGATCGCCGATCCCCGTAGTGGTGGTCCTTGTACCAGTGCTGCTCATACTGGTGATGCCGCTCCCCACCCCACATCTGGTTGCTGTTGCCACCATAGTTGAACTTTCGATCCCTCTGCCATTCTCCTCGGTCTGCAATGAGGAAAGCACCAGTAAGTGTCTTCCATGCTTCAGTTTAAGCCCATTACTCTTCTGAATTCTCAAGGAAATTGTAACTATTGCTGTGCCCCTTTAACTTTCTCCTCCCTAAATTATGCGGGCCCAATTTTATTCTTTGAATTTCTTTTCCATTTACTCTAGCAAATCTTATTCTGTCCTGTTCTTATACTCTTTTCATCACTGTATCATCACGTTTTCTAGTCCAGCAATAAGCACAGCGGTAATATATGTTCCATCCCATCACCTTTAAACCTGACCAGACACAAGTCCCAGAAGGAACTGTGATCAAGAGCAAAGAGCCATTAGGTTAGAAGGGACGGTTTCTCCTGGCTTGCCAGCGCTCACCTGTGTTGCTGAAATGTCTCTTGTTTGGATGACTGTAGTTGTCACGTGGGTGGCCGTGCATCTGCTGCTGGGCGTGGGACGGGGGCATGTGGATCTTCTGGGAATGAGGATTGTGAGGCACATGAGACTGGGACATCACAGAATCGCGGCTGGAGCCCGAAGGCTCTGGGCGGAACGGCTTCTTCATGCTGGACATGTCCTCCTTCTTCTTCTGCTCCTGCAAGGTGGAAGAAAAGGTTATAGCTCAACTGCTCTTCCACCTAAAGATTCAGACTATGTGAGCAACCACCTTGTCTGTCAGGCTCTGGATTTTTCTGCAGACTCCCCGTGCTGTGGGCCACCCACCTCTTTGAGGACTTGGTGAACCAACTGTGCCCAAGCACGGTACGAATGGCAGTGGTACACATGTGGTGGAGGACAGGCACAGTTTTGCCCCATGCGACTCCGCTTCTACCTCCTCTCTCTACAGGGCAGCACTCCCACACTTTTTACTCTAAAGGTCAACTCAACTCAACGTGCCACACCAAGCAATGCTTTTTCTTGGTCAGAACGGCCAGGACAAAGTGACCAGTGTTGTTAGGTGAAGGGAGAAATGCCACATGAAAAAGGAGGCAAATGCAACCAGACTGTTTAGATGCTAAGAACATCACAGACTGCCAACCACAATAAAGCCCATCATAAGAGGCAGCAAGTATTGACACTTCAAGTGCGACAACTTTTAAAGACAGCAACTGGAGGGAAGTCACTTCAGATCTCACCTCCTCTTCCTGCGACCTTTTCTTATGAGCCATCTTGTAGAGTTTGTGCAGTTTTCTGGCATCAAATTCTGTGAATTTTGACACAAATATCCATAGGTTCCTAGAAGAACATGAACATTTTCTGTTAATTGCTACATCAGCAGTTCAACTGCCAACTGCTTTCAAACCAACATCAAATCAGTTCCACCTTCTCTGGAAAACAGTCGCAACCCAGCTCAGGACAGGATGATCAGGAGAGCTGGAACCAAGCTCTTCAAAGTAAAATAAAGAGGTTCGCACTGGTTTATCTGAACTAGCTCTGAAAACTCAATTTAAATGAAACCAGCATAAATTGCAGACCAAACCCTCACCTGAGACTGGTCATGGACTGAGCAGCCTACAGAACGTAAGGCTTCAAAGGTTTAAATAATAGGCAAATGGCACATTCATCCACATAAAACCCAGCAGCTTCTGACTACTGTTTTTAACACCACAGACCAGCCAAAGAGAACAAAACAATCCCTCACCTTCTCCATAGCTTGATATGATCCTGGTCAGTGTAGGCTTTAAGGCACTCAGAGATGCGGTCCCCAATTTTTAGGAGGCAGTTGCGCGTGTGCTCCAGCTGTTCTTGAACTGTCAGTCCCTTATCAGGCTTATCGAGTTGCTTCAGTGCTTTTTTGACTGGTCTCATCCTTTCCTTGCACTTGAAAAAGCAACAGAAAGCAGAAAGTGATTCATTTGGCCCAGGGCTCTTAATCAGACCGAGCTGGAAGAGGTTCATTAGCATGCGATATTAGCGTTATCTGACCATTAGGCAAGGAGAAATCAGCTATGAAAATCGCAATTTGTTAGACACGCTGCAGAAAATAATCAGGAAAAGACGAGAGTCTCCCCGTCTCCGCTGCTGCCCCTTTTAGAGGGGAACAATTTACTTTGCAAACTACAACCGCGCAGGGTCTGCTCTTGCGCTGATCCCACGGCAGGCAGGGAAGCATAACCGAGCACTGACGTGCTGAACCAACAGCCCCAGCTGAACGAGCGCTCGCTCAATAGCCTCCCTGTCCATCCCCATCTGTGGTCGCTTTAATCTATTGCTTTTACCCAAACTGGGAAACACGAGATGAAAGCACCATCTTTTTTTTGGCTGCGCTCATCAACGCTGTGCACAGACAGTAAATCAGACAGGTTTCTACTGCCTGACTGGACCTTTCACGCATCACAGAGGGAAAGTAAAAGAAAAAAAGCAGACAAAAAAATAACACAGGACCTGCAGGGAATACACAGATTTTAATTTAGAGAACTGTTGTTCTCTCCATATCACTGCTAAAAAGTGATATTTCAGCACTTTCCTGCGCAAATCAGGCCAAGGAGATTCTGTCATGACAACTTTTACTAAAAGGTTATTTTTATAACGAGTCTTGCAGGCACGTTCGCTGCAAGAGCATTTACACAGCTAGGGAAGTGCTTACAGCTCAGGTAACTCCGTACCTCCTACAGCCATAACAAGGTCACCCTCAAAACTCTTCTGTATTTCCCTGCCTGGAAGAGCCCCAATAACTCCTTGACTTCTCCAGCAGAGACAACCAGATAAGGCTGCAGGGTCTTCTGTAACCCAGGGCTGTCAAAATGAGCGGTGGGAACTTATCAGCTGAAGGAGAGCCCTTCTGCATGCTCTGTTGACATGCTGCCCTCTTCTGCCCTGGATGGCATCGCTGGCAGAGGCAGGGGATGAACATGCACGCTTACGCAAAGCTGAATTTTGAAGAGAGTTATCCGAAGCCTTCAACAGCATAATTGCTTGGTGAGAATCGGGAGCTGAAAGAGCTTTGAAGTTTCTTCCAGTTGAAGTGCTGTTTACAGCAGCCAGCCAGTAGGCACAGAGGCGGCTGGTGGACAACTCTCCTACCGGGATGTTCTGCCGTGCTCTGAGACCGGCCAGAGGAAATCGCTGTGGGGCACTAGAAGGGGGCTCACACCCTGACACCTGAAACACATCCCTGGATAACACACCCTGCCTGCTTTGCTGGCCTCTCTGCCACTGCCCCCCCACATCTCCCAAGGAAAATACTCACTATGCTGAACGTTTCTTGGTCCAGATCGTCATCCTCGTCTTCTCCAATAGGGATCGGTTCACTCCCTGCGGTAATGTGGACGGGACCTTGTGATCTCTTCCCTTTACTTCCAGATTTGGCTTCGCTACCTTTAGGCTTCACAAGGACAAATTACACACATCACATGATGAGCCAGACTGTAGGATCCCAAGTGATCCAACTAACAACCTCCACACTATTGTTACTGGCAGTTGTTAAACCCGGGGCACCGCTCCTACAACTTTCCTCCCAAGATCTCAAATTGTTTAGCTGTAATGCCTCTATTTAGCTTTACGTCATCCCTGAGGGAGTAGAGAGAAGTCAGAGTCAACATTTTGGACGTGAATACGATATTCATACTCATGGAGAGAAAACCTACGTTGAAGACTTAGAAGAGAGGTTAAGCTAAAAAATATATATCCCTTTCAAAGGACAGAGCTCAGAGTAGTCTCATCTCTACGAGGGTCTGCAACCTCATGTGATGTCACTAGTCCTCAGATCCCCTGGAAAGTAACCTCAAATCATGGCTTGTTGGTGTAAATTTTGACTTAAATTACTTATCTGTAGTCAAAACGCTTTAAAGTCAAATCCATACCAAAAATCACTGGAGAGCAAACTTTCCCCTACATACACAACAAAGCTCGTTGGGGTTTGCACTTACGACCTCAGTGTCAAAACACACTGGGCATGCAGTACATACCTGTTCCTTGGACAAGTATTTCAGGTCATTGTTACAGAAGCTTTTACCCCCTCTTCCAATTTGAAGCCAGCCTCAGGGCAGTTGTACCCAAAATTCAAGGGACATTTTAGTCCACAACATACCACTGATATTGAAAAAAATCATTCTGGCGAGTCCTGAGCAGCCAACAAGGCCAACTCACAGTCTTGACGGTGTGGACAGTTTGGTTATTTGGGGTGAATTTAAATACAGACAAGGAGCTGCCAACCTTGTGATAAATCACAGCTGAACAGAACTTTGATGTGAGTGCTGCAGGCTCTTCCCCCTTTCTTCCTTAGCATCAGCTATTTGGCCATATCGCTGTCAGGGGGACAGCTGTGCTTTAAAGGCAGTCCGACAAAATCTCCTCCTTTTTGCTCACATTCCATTAAGCTTTACGATACACTGCCTTTTCCACTTTTTGCTGCAATTCTTCATAAAAAGCATTCAGGAGGGCTGAGAATGGGATACCACCTCACCCCACAGTGCTTCATTGCTGTCTGTTCACACAGGGCCTTTAATGAATCAAGTCTCATAGCTTGCCCTTCTGCTCAGAGACTTTCCTATCTCTTAAACTGCTCCTGAGAGTACCGCATACCTTTTCTTTCTTGTCTTTTGTCTTCTTTTTCTCTTTATCGCTTTCCTTTTCCTTCTTAGTGGTTGTCTGTTTTTCCTTGTTCTCTTTGTTCTCTTTCTTCTTCTGTTTCTTTTTCACGGGGCTCTTTTCCAAGCCATCCTCCTAGAAAATCAGTCACAGCACAGTCAAAGCTGGAGTCCCTCACCTCATGTACGCTTTCTTCCCTAAAACTGACATCCTTGAAACACAGGCCATTTTTGAGGCCCATCCAAATTTGCCCTCACACCTCTTTAACCAGGCAGAAAGCCTTGCTTAACCAGCTGCAACCCACCCAACCCTTGAAAAACGAGTATAAAAAACAGAGGAGTCCCAGCCTGTAACTAGCTGGCAAACCGTGGAGAAGCACTGCTTTCCTATGCCAGCTGCGCTTGAGAACGCTCAGCCCCTAAGGTAGATACCGATCAGCACATGAACAAAAAGCCTTAGACTACAAGCCAAACCAAAGACAGAAGGTTTTCTAAGCAACAGCGTGACCTTGGTAAACTCCAGCTTCACCACCAGCTGACGTATTGAAAAGGAGAGGGAAACAATTCTTCTTTCTCTCCTTTATAAGGGCAACAGACTTTGTCCTGAGACAACCTTTCTTCCAAGTCAACATGCGGATGCGTGTGGCCATCCTAGGATCCATCCAAACACTTACAAGCAGTAACATAAAAGAGCGTGTGGGAAAGGTCCTTCTTTCACACCGACAGCCGTCTATGTTTTTGTGAACTTGCCAGTCTCCTGTGGGAACGCGTTCCGTAGTGCCCCCTGACTCCACAGGGCATTTGCTAAGGGTGCTTCTCAAGGTGAGTATGTAACAACATAGCTCAAGGAAACCTGGAAATGCCACTATCCACCAAGTTGACTCACCTTGACTTCACCTTCTTCTGACTGGTTGTCTGAGTGCCGAGGAGAGGAGAGTTCATTCCCATGCTCATCTTTGACTTTGGGAGCCTTGTTCTCTTTCTTTACTCGTGGTTTCCTCTTCTTTAGCTTGCCCTGGTGAAAACACAGAACAAGTCAGAGCAAGCAAATAGCTACGGCTGCTTCCTGGGGACATCCCCCATCTCCTGAACATCTCACAAACAGCTGCAGGTCCTGCAGAGTGGCAGGAAACCTGATGAGCCCGAGTTCTTCAGTAAATGTAATAATTAATTACCTGTTCCTTACTAATCATCATTTCAGAATCACAATGCAATCAGACAACAGACAAGTCCATATTCTTTCACGTAGATGACGTTCGGTGACCTGGGAACGCAGGCTATCTCCTTCCACCAGCAAACCACTCATTCTGAGAGCCCCAGAATCACGAAGCCACATCTCACCTCTTCCCCATCTTTCATGTTTTCTTTCTTGTCCAGATCTTTCTTCAGCAGTTTCAGTAGATAATCAACTCGGGTCTGGAGCTGTTTTCCCTGAGGTTTCTTATCTGTCTCAACAGGTAGGATCTTTGATAAAGAAGAAAAAAAAATAATATACCCCCATGCACCTATATCAACTATTGACAAAAGAGATACACACTAGCAGCAGTCCTTCCAGGTCCAGCAAAGGGCTGGAGATGCTGCATGTTCTGGGGGAACAAGAAGGTTCAAGAATTTCTTCCAGCTCCCACACAGAGTCTCCCTGGCTAGCCAAAAGCAAAGCTCCTATCGCAAGCATCCCTCCTTCGGCCTTCTGCAGAAGTGAAAGGACCCCAAGGCAGCTCTCTAGATTCTCTATGATCTTTCTTGTAAGGGTGCAAAAAGAAGAAAAAAACAAACCCTTTGCAAACTACATTTGGGACCTTGAGTTGCAAAACTGAGTCCGCTCTCCTCGACACATCAGCTTTGTGTGTGACAGCCTTGTCACAGCAGGCTGGTCCCCTCTGGTAACCCGAGACATTGCCACAGCAACGGTATAGATGCAGACTTTTTAGCGGAAAACAAGGCTGCAAGGTTCCGCTTTGCGGAGGAAGTATCTCAGCTTGCCACCTATGGTTACCTTCATACTTCACTGGAAATTGGGTGGCATGTCTCAGGCAACTGTTTCCTTCGTAAAATGCCTTTCTGAACTTCACGAAGGAGAGCTCTCAGCCACAGTCTGATCTTTGCTAAAAGCACTAGCGGGGATGGCATGGGAATGCAGCATATTGGCAGCAAAGCCGGCGTAGAGAGTCCCAAAGTTCCTCAGCCCTATGCTGCAGTTTGTTCTCCTTCCATTGTGCTTGACACAACGGATGGCGGCTTATTTTTAACCTGAATCATTTCAACGTGGCCCCCATAAACAGTTCTTCTGGGAATGCCTGAGGAACAGAGCAACTAGGTGGAGGCTTTCCAGCTGGCTTTGCCGCCATAGCCAGTCATGTAACTACACCCTCAAAGCTAACACAGACCAGTCTTGACATAAGCGGTGTCAAATCCGTGAAAAATTATTTCCACGCAGAAATTCAGACTCAGCTTCTTGTGAGATGCTCAAGGAAATATCAAGTCACGATTACGCAATGCACCGTCTGCCCTGTGCATGTAACCACACATGTCAGCATTACCGTTTTCTTCCTGCATCATTCACTGTGGTTCATATGGTACTGTTCAGAGAGAATTTACTGCCAATCAAATAACACAATTCTGCTTTCCATCAAGCATGCAACATTCCATGGAGGTCACTGTTTTCCTCGTTATTATTTATTATTATTTTTGGAGTGGTTACAAATGTAAACATCTGTTTCTGGAGTAAATCAAACATGTTGTCTATGAACACTGCAATGGACCCAATGCAAGCAACAAGCAAAGCGACCTACCTTATCAGATAACTTCAATTCCGGGTCTGTTTTAATTAGCTCCCAGTTTCCATAACCATGCTCGTAAATTCCCACTAACAAGCGAGAATCCTCCTCCACTCCCCAGTCTACATCAAAATGGGCAGCTTTGACACGGCACGTCAGGCGGTACCTGAAGGCATTTCAAACATGAGCTACTTTTAATGCTGCGGAGGATAAAGCAAATCCACATATCTAGGCTATTCTCTTTCCACTACGAAATCCAAATTCCCTGAGCCTCTTTCTGCATTGCCCACTTCGCCAAACTCACTTCTTCCTTTCCTCTGGGTCCGTGGGAATGGATTTATGCAGCATTTCAAACTCCTCTTCATGCTGGATGATGGATTTCACGTTGACTTGGACACCAGAAATCTTGATAGTAGGACCTCTTCTTTTTCCAGGTCCTTTCCCTGTTCGGCAATAAAGCACAGGAACTAAGAGAACTCTTACAGAAAGAAGTGCCGCTGTAAAAACGTCTAGACACACAGAGATCAAGACCTTGCCCACGAGCTTGTATTTAAACATAAGGCTGTCTGCTAAGGCAGGCCCAAAATACAAGTTTTCTTTCACCAACTCACTTAGATCTGCAATCCAAACACCCAGTATCATTTTCTTAAAAATACCCCTAAAAAGTACAGCGGACCTGTTGCTTCAGTAGTTTTGTTCAGCTGCAACAGGCGGAGACCTAGAGTGAAATCCAGCCCAGAGCCCCGTAGCTCCAAACCAAAAGGACAGCCACAGCGTGGTTGATGAGAACTCTGAGAAGTGCTAACTGGGGATCCAGCTCTACCACGGAGTACGCAGCACCACTTTGATTACCAATCCCAGGAGCAGTTAAATATGATCTGCTCTGCCTTCTGGCCCAGCAATAAATAAGCTGATGACTTCAGCCTCTTCCCATGAAAACTCATGTTCAGCAGAAGTCAACAGACCAAATGGCACTTTCCAGTCTGAGCAGAAGACTCAGGGGTTTCCCTCCGTTGGCAAGAGCTGCCTGGCAGAGATGGAATGGCCAAAGTGTGCTTGTTCTTTGCTTTTAAGTTGCAATGTGGCATGCCTCCCTGTCCAGCAAGGGAATGGTTTTCTCACCATTTCCATGGAACTCCCCCAAAAGCATCATAACAGCAACACACAACCTGCTTGCTTACCTTCACCTGGATTTTCTTTCAGCTGTTCCTCGTATTCTTGCATTGCTGACACACAGCTATTGTGGATGAGTTCCCCTAACCGTTTCAGATCAGCCACAGATTTATCCACCAGCTCAGCATCCCGGGCAATACACTCCAGCCTGGAAAAGGGGGAAAAAAGAATTGCAAGTTTTGTATTTGATACAGCATATCTCCTCCCAGTCACTTCCTGAGCAACTGCTTCACAGCTTTTACTAGTCAATGCTGTATATATATGAACATATGAAACCTGCTGTCCTGCACGAGTTGAGTTCGTGCAGGAAACAACATAGTTTTACTCTTTTTTTTAGGTCTAACAGGTGCAATACAGTGCAGATGTAGTATAACTGATCCAATCCTTTGGATTTTTTTAGTACTAAAGCAAAGGAGAGAACTGTCTATCTTGGGCACAAGAAGTACCCTCTGTGACTGTCCAGTGTTCCTTCACGCTTTCTCAGTTTCATATTAGTGCCATTTGATGGTCAAAAGCTGCCATCTGCTGGCCCTTTGCCTGGCTGAAGCTAGTAACATCGAGGCCCATACACAAGCCTTGTGTTTCACAACAGAAGAGTACAACCAGCTAAAAACACAGTCTTTTCTTAGACAACACATGCAGGGAATCCCTGCCTCAGCTCTGAGACCTCAGCGAGGGCTACAGCTTTCCAGAGCCAGCACACGTGCCCATCTCCCTTCCTCCCTCGCTGACGCTGGGTGACAGCACACGTGGAAGGCTCTGCAGACCCACACTCCAGGACAGCGTGCGCCTCTCCCTGCTTCCCTTCAAGAGGGATACAGCAGCAAAAGAAAGATGCTCTGAATTCAGTCTCGAAGCTAATACACATAGAGAAGCTCGGCAAGCGTTTTGGGTAGCATTTGCTGCTCAGACAGCTGCGCTCTCTCCTCTCTAGGCAGAGTGGAAGTGCCTCAAGGGCCTTACGCTGCCAGCGGGATGATGCTGCGTACAGCCCCGCGCCACTACCGCTCTCGCTGCTTTTTGGCCAGCATTCACCAGTGCCCATCAACTGAGACACGAGGGACTGTACGGCAGCGTTCGGGTCACTGATCACAGGACAGCAAGGCTTTGCGCTGGCCGCGGAGGTTGTATCCCAAACCCACAGCAACGTGTGTACGGCCGTGCGTAGAAACACAACGTCCCCCTGCAATGACCTTCTGGAGCAGGGCCAGGTTGAGACTTACCGTTCCAGAGGCAGCCCAAACTTCTTGTAAGCCTTGATAAACCTAAAAAAAAACCAAACCAGAAGCTAAACCAGCTGCCGTACAAAGTGGGTCCAATATCACGAATACACCTGAATATATTAATTACAGCCTGCCACGTTATCAAGCTTGCATTCCAGACTGATTCGCTAAGCATCACTCAGGACTGGGGATCCTAATCCATTAGCCCCCATGAAGAGTTTTGTGACCTTGGCTGGAGAAGAACACAACATTATTATGAATGTTGGATGTTTCACAGATGAGGGGGAATAAGAGAAACAAGGAGTCATAACTGTAGTTTAAAAAAAATAATTGAAAGAAAGCATTGGCTCACACCATGTTGGTAATTATTAACTTCATTTTTCCAAGAAGAAAAGAGTCATTAAATCAATGTCATTGGTAATTTTAACGCTCAGGCTCTAAGTCTAACAACCCATCACAGAAGAGCCAAATGTGGTGCAATCCATCACAGAGGTTTGCAGACAAGGATTGCTATTTATTTTTATGTCTTATTTTTATTGTGAAAATCACTGCCATGGCTAACACACAACTTCAGGGCAAGAGTCAGACACTGTTGCTGCAATTGAGCAGTGCCTTGTGCTGGGAGTAGACCCAATGGCTTTAACTACAGATTATTTTTAAAATGAGTTAATTTTTTCCCTTTCTTTTCTTCATCTCGTGCTCTTTCAGCCTCTTTCTGCTACATCACAATACCTAAACAGCTGCAACACCTCACAACACCTCCTTTCTTCTCTATGACTTCAGGGCTGGATTTGGGGCAGCTACCACAACCTGAAATGTTTGCCCATCTCCTGTTTACAAACACATCAACTCAGAGAGAGACAGTCAAGGAAAACTCACAACCTCCTCTTTTCCATCTTTGGCTGAACCTCTGGGCAGAGCCATAAAACAAAGATCTCTGGGAAAGGCTCAAGAGTTAGAAGATATGAAGAGAAAATAACGCTCTGGAATTCAGCCCCCAGCTGCCTTCAGGGACACAGTGCAGAAGAGGATACGCAACTGCTGGCATCAACGGGACCAGTGCTTCTCATGGGGTCATTTTGCCAGAGCTTGCCTTTCACTTAAAGCTTAAATCAGCAGGACTACTGCCAGAATAATGTCAGGAAGGCCACAGTCCTTGGTTTCTCCAGCTCTGTATCTCACGGCAACTAAGACCTCACGTGTAATATGGAATTAGCTCAATCCACTTGTCCTGGGAAGGGCAGTTACAAGGATTAATTTTAGGAAGGTACCAGCTTCACTGCAGCCTGACTTAAGACAATCCAGTCCATTTTGCACAGACCTGAATATTAAGGTCAACAGGTGGGAGCAAACTGAATTTTACAAAGATGCAGTAGCTGGCCAAATGAACCGGCTCCACTTAACCCACTGATGTGCTTACAGGTGAACACCTCCTGGATGAATTTGAGGTTTTCTCCACCTGCATAGGATTTCTATCTTTATTCTCTGAACTGTCTCCTGGGCTCATCACTGACCTCCTGATTTCAGCATCAGTAAATCCTTCCACGGTATCTTTTCGAACACTTCGAGGCCGTCCCCTGCGCTTTGGTCTCTTCTCGTCATCAGTATCATCAGTTTCGCTTTCTGATCCAGATGACCTCTGAAGCCTTCTCTTGGTTTCTGCATCTGATTCACTGTCATTTGTCTGAGCCTGTATGTACCAGAAAAACAGCAGTACACTTAACAACTGGTAATCTGCCAACTTTTACTGTCCCTCCCATGCACGGGCGCTATTTCACATTCAGACTGTAAAACACCTTGGCATCTCTTCCTGAAGATGCAGCCCACATAACCAACCCAGAGAGGCTTTGCGCCCTTGCAGTTTCGAGCTAGCTAAGGCTCTGGTGGTTATCCTCCCTTTACAGCCTTCCACCCAACAGTTTCACAATGGCATTTTGATTTACTAAGGTATAAGATAACATTAAAACACATTGATTATCATAGTTTTGTGCCACAGTCCCTTCGGCTGTTTTGAAAACCACGACACCTCAGAAATTAATCTGGAATTATCCGATTCAAACTCGATGATCTTTAAGGTCCCTTCCAACCTAAATCATTCTATGATTCTATGAAATTATCCTTCTCTCTAGTTTTCATTTTAATGTTTTTCCCCAGCTTATGCCAGAGAATATTTCATAACCCCTCAAAGTCCTGTATCCCAGCAGAGTTTCCTTGCACAGTTTGCTTTCTGTTGAATTAGAGTAGATCGTATCACCTAAAAAAAGATTTGAGATTTTGCCATCTCTTTTGCCTGCAAGAGTCACATTTTGGCAAGAGCAGCCCAGGGAGCTAGAGAGCCCAAGGGAAAAATATAGCCAGAAAACGGCATAAACTGCAGTAAAATCTGCACATTTTGCCCTGTGCTCACTACAGGTTCTCTTTATTTTGTCTGCTAAGACAAGATGAGTCGTACCTAATCCAATATGGGCCCTCACACTGTATGTCAAACCACAGGCACAATGCATGATGCCAAAAAGAGGGCAGTGTGCTGCTACCTCTGTGCTTTACTCCTAACCAACTTCGGAGGAGGCAAAGCAGCACTCAGATGGCAAGAAGACTTCCCTTGAGTGTTGCCTTTGCCAGCTCTAGCCTCCTGCCCTCTCAGGTCCTCAAGATGGGCCGTACCTTTTTAGTCGAGCTCCGGATTCGAGGCAACATGTAGATTTCCTCCAGTTCTTTCTGTCTTTCTTCCTCCTCCACCTTTTTCCTCTGCTCCTCTGGGATGATATCATCCCAGTCCTTCTGGGACCGCTCGTCCAGCTCGGTCTCTTCCTCCTCCATGGTTGCAAAGTTGGCCACCTTTCATAAGCAAAGGAACGCTTTTAGAAATTCCCTCCCCTGGCAGGAATACCCCAGAGCTGTCTGCTAAGCCTCAACTCCTTCCCCATAGGAATTCTGCCAGCATTTCCATAACTATTTTATAATTGATCCCTATGTCACTACATTCCTGGTTCCTTGCCACGTCTTTGGGCTAACAGCTTTTGAGAAAGTACGTGCAGTTTAAGAAGTACTGCTGAGCCTCTGTAAGTTATCGGTTTTGTTTCCAAATTTGGTAAATTCTGCATTTTATTCACAGCCTTCAAAACCACTTACTTGGAATGAACTTAAGGTCTACTTATCTCCCCAGTTACCAAACCCAGACAACCCTTCAGCAAACTGCTTTGTACAGGTCATCTCTCACCAGGTCTGATTTGTCCTCTTTGTTACTGACCTCACCACGGTGGCAAGAGGTGGGAAGCCACATTCCCGCATGCCACCACAGAGCCTGCGGGTCCGTACCTTGAACTGGGAGAGGAGCTCGTCGGTGGCACTGGTGGACACTTCATTTTCTCGTGTTTCAGCCAAACGCAAAATCTCGTCGATGTCCATCTCCTACCAGTCAAAAAGAGAGAGTGATAAAGCGGAGGGTGCCGACCACAGCGGGAAATAAGAGGCTTTGAGAACGGACTCGTGGGGTGCAATAGCTAAACACACGCTGTGCTGACATGAGCTAAATAAAGTGCAAATATCCGCAGGGTGTCATCACTGAGGGCAGGGATGAACTATCTCAAGTGGTACAAAAGAGTATAAATAAGGGTGATAGGACCGAAGAAAAAGAACATCAAGGCTGAGCAACAGGGAAAAATTCCAGACAATGAGATGTATTAACTTTGGACTGTTTCCCTCAGGGGAAACTCTGCTACTTGGGCCATTAAGAGCACTCAATACTAAACTGTCAAGAAACACTGCGCTGAAGCAGGAGAGAGAGACCTATTCGACTTCACTGTCCTGACTCCTGTCTCTCTATGAGAACAACCAAAAAAGGATGCTGAAGAAGGGCTCAGAGGAGGCGGGGAGAGGAGCTTTCAGCAGGCTGCGCTATAACTAGCTAATGAATCCTCAGGAGCCAAGGGACTCTCTCGGTGACCATTACTATTTAACCCCCGACAACAAGGCTCTCCTCTACCCCCTCATCCCCCAACCCCAGAGCTCTCGTCCTTCAGCTTCTCTGGACTCACGTGTGCTCTATGCACCGAGCGCTCTCAGGCACAAGGCAAGTACAAAGAGGGAGCGCAGACACAAGATCCCCCATGCAGACCTGCAGAGGACTACAAACAGCTATGTGATTTCAATTTCAAACTACCTGAGGCTCTGACTCTTCCCCTTCAAGCTCCTTGAAGAGATCTTCAGCTCCAAACTTCAGAATAGCTGTCAGCTCCTCTTTGTTGAAAGGGTTTGAGCTGCAAGAACAAATGAGAAGGAAAACGTGTTTTGAGCTGTTAAGTCAGCACTGCTACAGCACAAAACCATACCAAAGTTTTTACTGATAAAGAAAGAAGTAAGTTTTCTACTCAGCAATATAAAAATCCTTTTTATTCAGTCCCTCATCTCGTTCCTGCTCTAGCACAGACAACTACTGTAAAGGGAAAAACCTCCATCTACTGGGGGGAAATGGGGAGACTCTGAGGTCACTGCCAAATTGCAGCTGTTCCATGACCACCACCAGGTTCCCCCAAACCAGGGTGATCTCTGGGAGGAAGACAAAGAAGGAAAAGCAAGGACTGCATTAAAACTAGTTTACTATTTCTGGTCATCTTTATCTGTTGTGTCTAAATTAATTGTTGCATAAGCCAAATCAGTGGAAGCTGCCATTATTTATTAGCCTTCTGCCCTGTATCCTACCAAATAAATACTGGGAAACACCAGCAGGCGAAGCTGGTTATGCCACATGTTGTACCAGACATTTCTGCCTCCTGACACAATCACTTACTTGGATCGCCCAGAGTTGTTGTCCAGCACAGTCCGGCCAGTGGTGTCCATACGTTGGATCACCAAATGATCCAGCACCATTTTCTTCTTGGCCCTCTCAATGATCTCCTCCTCTACCGTACCCTTTGTGACCAGGCGGTAAATATTCACCTGAAGGGCAAAAAATGAACAGAGCTATTTCCTGGACCAGAACATGCTCTGCCGTCACAGCGATGTATCGCTCGGTTGTTCTGCAGGAGACCAGTCTGCTGACATGGTCTCTTCGTGCACAGATGTGTCTTTTTAGAATAAAAACACGCACATTCTTTTATATCTCAGGGGGACGAGTTAAAATCAGGCTGGCTAACACAGATCTTGTGTGTCTAAGCACAGAATAAAAACCTTCTGAAACAATCACTTTAAATCCAAACTAGCATCAAACTTTTCACATATCTAATAAAACCCTAGTAAAGGTGGATGTTCTACTTTCTAAGTTTTTCAGGACAAGAAAGAACAGAGTCCATAGGCTGAGAAGTGTGATATCACCAGTTGGGTTCTTGGTTTCGAACAATACCAGAACCCAAAGCCAACAGAAAGACCTGCCGTCTGGCAAATTTGGGCTGATTTTTTACTTCCTGGCTTTTAAATGAGCTTCCCTTGGGTTGGCAGTACTCTCTGAAGTCACGACTGGGGGCAAAAAGACTGCATTTTCAGAAGCTCTGATGAGGTGGGAGCTCGTTTAGATGCACACGCTGAAGCCACTGAGAAAATGACCCAGGTAACTCTTCTGACCTGCTTCTTTTGTCCAATCCGGTGAGCCCGAGCCTGAGCCTGAAGATCATTTTGAGGGTTCCAGTCCGAGTCAAAGATAACGACAGTATCAGCAGAGGCCAAATTAATTCCCAGCCCTCCAGCTCGCGTTGACAACAAGAAACAGAAGTCCTGGGGGTGGGGAAGGAAAGGCATCCATGAGTTAGCCAGCCCGTAACTGTGGATGTAAAATAGCAATCACTTCAAAGCTATGCAAGGAAACGGAGGGAGGGGTCTCGCAATCGTGCTTCTTAAAGCAGAAGGAGGATTTCCTTCCCCCACATCCTGCTCGAGCAGGCTAAGTGCTGGTCTTTAAGCTGAGGCACAAGGTGAGGCGGTGCTGGCAGGGGTGAAAGGTGTGCTATTCCAGAAAGGGCCCGGCATGCATCGTTATGGGAGAGCAAAACAAACAGCACAGGGCAAGGACACCTTGGAGTCGCTTTTGAAGGTCAGACCACGCTGCGCGCCAGACTCCTAGAAAGGCAGCAGGCAAACACGTACTTTTTTTGTTGCCTGAAGCCTGCTGGGGGTGAGATCAGCAGCTAACAGACCGTTTGAGTCACCGCACAAGGGCACGGGGTGCCAGGTTAGAGCCAAGATGCCTGAGCCCTCGTGGATGCCCCCAGGAGGGGGGAAAGGGCAGCTTCTATGGGCGTTCTTGCTCCTTTCCATCCCGCGTTGCTGTCTCCTCCTCACTTTTATTTGTCAACTTTCTGACAATCATGAAGCACCTAACTGTATCTCCTCTGTCAGCCAAGAATCCCCCTCCAGTCCAGGCTTCTGGAGTGAGGAAAGGTATTTCTCACAGCTGGGCGGATTGTGGCACACAACAAGTGCCTTGCACCGGTCACTGTGAGTCAGCGAGCCCAGACAAGAGCTTTGAGATGCCCTCTCCTATTACGCTGGAGATTTTCACCTCCAACACCAGACCCCACCGCCTGCCGACACCATAATCCCCCTTCTGCCTCTGTCATTTCATATCCAAAACCAGTTTAAGACTGGAAGAATCATTTAGCAACTGCCTCATTCCCCAGACAACGGGGAGAGAATTGCTAAATCCTGGCTCTTCCCAACCTCTTCGGGACTTGCAGCCCCGTTCTTTGGATGGGGGAGATTTAAAATAAGCAATATGGCTAGTTGCAAAACCTGCTATATCTGTGTCTTTAAAAGTATCTGCGGTCCTGTAAAAAGAACGGGACTCAACTAATCCTCTCTTGGCAGTCAGAACCTGAGACTCAGCCATAAACGCCCGCTGCTCGGGCAGCCCACCCGGACCCTCCTGCGGCAGGACATCCCCAGCTGCGGTACCTCAGAGCCGTCAGCGTTGAAGTGGTCCAGCGCCTGCTTTCGGATCTCCCCTTTGATCGAGCCGTCCAAGCGCTGGAAAAATCAACAATAAGGATAAAAGAAAGAAGGTAAAGGAGCCCTGAGGAACTTCTGCATCCAAGTCCCCTTCCCCGCCTGGAGCATTTAATCATTAAAAATAACCGCCAATTAAAAATAACTGCACTGCCTTAGCGTGCTGCGTCGCGAGGGCAGAAGAGGGGTATGCTCAGGCAGCAGTCACACAGCGGGTGACACCGCAGCTCCCGTTACAGGCTCCCAGCCAGGGTCTCTGTGTTCACTGCCCTCTCCTCAGGGTTTATCACAGGACACAGCCCAAACGCCTGTCAGAGGCGGCGTTTTGCAGAGATGAGGCCACACTGAAACGAAGGGACTTCCCAGTTCCCTCCAGTGTATTTCAGTAAGCGCAACCTGTAATCCCAGCCACCCATCTCTGGGAAGCTCGGTGACCCCCATTGCCCAGGCTCTCTCTGCATTTTCTTGAATTTTCAAGTAAACCCCACTGTTTTCCATGCTGATGTTTCTCACCTGAAAAGGGTAGTGTTTGATAGTCAGGTACTCTGCCAAGATGTCCAGCATCCTCACCATCTGGGAGAAGATCAGCACTCTGTTGCCTCTCTCCCGCAGCCTGGTCAGCAGCTTGTCCAAGAGAATTAGCTTTCCACTGCTCCTGATCAGAGACTGAAGAAGTAACCGTCATTCCAGCTGATGCTTTCCAACCTTACCCTTACGTGCACTACACAGAGACATGCACAGATCTGTTTTTTTGGGGGTCACGCTTCTCCCATACGTCTCTCATCAAATCATCTGGATTTACAGAGCAGAGGCCACACACAAAATGAATCATCCGAGACAGATCTTACATCGCATGCACCTCCCACTCGAGGTGGCCACAAAACACTGCCTACAGTGGAAGCAGAGGGCTGGAGATTCAAGTGGCTTCGCTGTGAGGACTATTTCTAATGGAGAAGCTGCAGAAGCTAAAGCTTCACCGGATCTTAACTTGGTGGGAGGACAGAAGAAAAGAGGAAAGTTAAGGAAAAAAGGTGGTAACCAAAGACACTGCCCACCTGCAGCGTCTCAAGGCCATTCTCTCTCTCATTTTCCTCAGGAGGTTTGATAAGGTAGCAGTGGTTGCAACACTTTTTCAACTCCATCACAATGTTCAGGAAACCAGATGTACTCCCCCTTGTTCCCTTTGAAAGAGCTTTGTAGTTTCTTGTCAAAATCCACCTGCAGGCAGGAAAACAAAAAGTCCGGATCATTCCACAGTGCGGACTGGGCATGCTGGAGCCTGGGAGGAATAAAACCTTCAGGGACATCTTGTTCAGGCATCAGTCTGCTCCCCTCCCTCCCCCTCTCTTCACTTCTACAGGATACTGCTGTTTCCTCACTAGAAAACCTGATGTTACTTTCCTCTTGACATCATTACAGTTTAACGTGAAACAGCACCACAATTTTGTGAGGTGCTTTACTCCCCCCCAAAAAAACCCACTGTGCCTGTCCTGCAACTGTATCACACTAAAAAAGCATCTCCAGACTACTACAGAGGAAAAAATACCACAAGACCTTACCTCAGATCCCTACCCATGAAGCCCCTGCTGCTGCAGGTGATGGCTGTCACACTGCATTCTGAAGGACAACATATTCCCAAGACACACAGAAAGATGAGCCCATTTCTACTGGTACTCACAGTAACTTAAGTGACTCACTTGTAATACTGTTTCTGCAAAGCAGACATTTCCACACGGAGGATCTGCTCCACTTTGGCCGGCAAAGACTTCTCCACGTCCTTCTTCACTCTGCGTAGGAGAAATGGCTCCAGGACTTTATGAAGGCTCTGGTAGCCATTCTCTCTACCTTTTCCGTGATCCTCTTCAAAATCCTCCCAGAACTCAAATCTAGCAACAGAAATGAGGAGCAGAGAGGGTTCAGAATACCTCTTGTCTTATCGGACCAAACATCATCTACCGGATACGCTCCCGCTGCACAACAAGACAGGAGATCATCAATTTGATGGAGATAGAGTGGAAGATAAAAGGTTCACTATGCCCTGGCAAACTAAACGGACTGTGGTAAAGCTAGAAGCTCTCTGGGCTTAGGTGCCCTCTTAACATCTCATCTTTGAGCTCCGCACTGATTCCCAAATCACAAAACCCAAAATCCCAAGTTTCCCAGTGTTCTGCTCTGCTCTCTCCCGCTGGCGTTTACCTTGCAGCAGTTTCTGAACTTTCCACGGTACTTTTCCCTACGCAGGGCTTGGACAACTGGACTATGTATTACGCTGCCCTGAAGGCTTTTTTAGATTGCTTCTTCCTCCAACAGATGCTTTGAAATGCAGATATCTGCTCCTCTCCTCCACTTGGGAGACCTCAAATGTTTCCTTCACTCTTTCTGTGATCCAGCAAAAAGAATTTGGGCAACAGCTCTTTTTTTGCAGTCAAACACAATTTTGGTGAGTTTTGGGGCTTGCTTGTCTTAGCCCATTTTGTTTTAAAGAAAACAAAATATTTGTTATAATGCAGACACGCGAACAATCGGCTAGACAGCACCATCCTTGAGCAATACTCTCAGAGACTGCCATAAAATGGTTGGCAAGGGTGGCTAAACCACAATGTACTGGAAACCTCAGAAATGGTCGAGATGATTGCTTAAAACAAGTTTAGCTTTTTAGAGATGGCTCTAAGACAGCAGACAGATTTGAAAGACATGTATTAGGTTTCCCCATTCAGTTTGCTGCCAGAAATACTCCTTGCATTAAGTCATTTAACTCTGATTTTCCCCCACCGATGTTTGTTCCCCTTTCATTGCTCTAACCCCACTGAGTTTAATTCAGAAATTTAATTCAGGGATTTCTGCGCTCCCTCGAGTCTATCTAATGGACAAGAATGGACACGGAGCTATTTTGTGAAGGACCAAAAGGAGACCTACTTCTCTGGCATGATGAAATGCAGCAGGGACCAGAGCTCCTTGAGTGAATTTTGAAGCGGGGTGCCGGTGATCAGCAGCCTGTGGTTGGACTTGAAATCAATCAAAGTTTTGTACAGCAAAGAGTCATCATTTTTCAACCGATGAGCTTCATCCACGCCTAGAAAGGCCCAGTTAATACTTCCCAAAACAGCCTGGAGGAAAAGAAGAGGAAAAAAAAAAAAAAACAGGTCCCGAGGAGATGCTGGGTCAGACAAGCCCCACCACTTTTCTCCATGGCCAGAACGCACTGCAACTGGGTGTCCTGCCCCAGCCCTGGACTAGTTTTGCCTCCTCCAAAAAGGAAAGGTGAAAAATCAGTCACGCTGTATAGCACTCCTGCCATATCTGAATAGTCTTTCAGCAAGTCTACCTATCTTAATCCACCTTTGCGTTATCCAGAAAGCACAGTCGTCCTCCAGCCCCCTCCTCCTCCCTTTCTCCATGCCCTGGGGCCCTGCTGCAGCACTAGCCCCTCTGGAGCAGCAGGAGGAGAGCAGGCAAACAAGCCAATAAAGTTAAGGTAACCCGGGAGTTTTGATTATTATTTTCTTTTTGGCATTAGTATTAAGGTCTTTGTTTTCTGCTAGGACTCAGTGATGCACTGATGGGGCTGATGAGCACTTCCTAAGCAGACAGATTTTTCCTATGTCTAAAAATCCAGATGTTGTTAATACTGTGGCTAGCAGTTCAGTGTTACGTTTTGTCCTCTTAACTAGCCTAAATTAAACCAGGTAAAATCCAGCTACTGCCCTGCCTGGTGTCTGACAAGTAAAAAGAATAACACAAGCGTGCTGTACAAGACACTATAAGCTGTGTCCCACGTTCCCTCTTGCATTACTGGCAAGCAAAAGAGAATAGTAGCCATATGTTCTCCATCACCACAGAGGAAAGAGGTGAAACCCACTAGATGGGGGCTGGCTACACCCTTTGCAAGCGAGAGAAAGTCTAAATAAAAACATCCTTGGACCATTACTCACCTTATCCTTCAGGAGAATCTCATACGTTGTGATAAGTGCATTGAATTTCAACCTTTTGGACTGAGAGTGGATCCACTCATATTCACGTATCTGTGGGAGGAGACAAATGTTAACTTCTACCAACGTTACCGAAAGGAAAGAGTTAACAATCATTATTTAGGTGTAGATACAGCTGGAGATTCCAGCCAATTCCAAACCCCCGTTGTTCAAGGTGTTATTCGATGAGCTCCGGATGCCCAAGGAGCAGCTTGTTTTAGTGCACAGATGGTTCAACTGCCCTTGCGCAGGTAACAAAATAAGGTCAAACAACTCGCTGTTGTGACATTACCCTCATCTGCCAAATGAATGCATCATCTCACTACTGACACCACTAGACTCACAACATTTGGGTGCTTCGTCGTCCGAATAATTGAGAACGCAGGAGGCAAGCACCTTTACACTGCTATACTCCTTACTGCAGCATGTTTCAGCCCAGCGCAGCAGTGGTTTCCAGCCCCTCTGAGGGAAGCCAGTAGCCCTGGGCTCACTCTAAGAGGGCCAATAAGGTAGAAAAGCCCCTGCAGTAGTGAATTATACCCAAGTGCTCGGGTACACCAGGTCTAGCTGCCTGCGGTACTGCAGTACTGCCCGTCAGCCTCTCCGAAATGTGTGTCCCACACGCCACACAGGAGCTACTGCGTTGCACCCAGTATTTCTACCCAACCCCACACCTTTTGCTTTCTGATTACACACCATGTTCCTGCTCATGAGGTCTCCGATGTAAACCACCACATTGATCTCGGGCGCCCACACTTCAAACTCTCTCTGCCACGAGGTGAGAGTGGACAGGGGCACCACCACCAGGAAAGGGCCGTACAGCTGGTGCTGATGGAAGAGGTACGACAGGAATGATATTGTCTGAATCGTCTTGCCCAGGCCCATCTCATCAGCCAGGATCACGCTGTTGTTCCTGAGTAAGAAGAGAACAAGCATAAATCCTATCTGAGTGCACGTTTCCGCCACTGCTAGTTTACTGTGCACCGGCACGAACAGCAATCTGCGACAGGGACAGAAAGGAGGGAGCGCAAAAACATTCATCTGAACACTTCCACGTGGATCCCAGGGACATCCAGGCTGTACATGGCACAATAACTTGCAAAAAGGAACAGATGAGAATCACTCCAAACTGGCAAGCAAGGACGAAGGCAAAGGGAGAGGGGAGTCAGTGGCCTAATTTTAGAGGGACATTTCTCAAACACTTCAACGAGTGTGTAAGCATGCCGAACCAGAAACCTTTTTTTTCACTTAGGGCAATGGAAAATTAGGGCCGATATGTTGTAGGCTCACACAACAGCCAAGTCCAGCATGTGAACAGGCCCAGACAGGGAAAATGCTTTTTGTTTTTGCACAAGGTTTCCTAAGTTCACGTTCTATCTAATTTCTGCTTGCATTGCCTGCAATGCAGCTGGGCGTGATAACATTTGAAATCCTTCAAGCCACTGACGCAGGCTGGGTGAACACCTCACCTGAAAAGAGGGCCAGATCCTACTGGGAGAAAAATCAGGAGACATAAACCAAACGTGGCTCACTTGCAGTATTGACCAGAGAACCACGTAGCACCTATACGTACTTGCACCACGAGTGAGCGAGCCAGTTGAGGCCCTCCAGCTGGTAATCTCGCAGCTCCAGGTTCTCACCGCCAATGTAAGAAGGCTGTTTCTTCAAGGCAACGAACCTCGGTCTCTGCTTCAATACCTGGAAAAGAAGATGCTATAAGCCCACTGAAGAAAAAGACAGAGTAAGGTTGACAATTCAGCAATGAACGTGTATGTGTTCATTGGTTAAAGTCCGTCCACATTTTCCTCGCCAGTGCTTGTGTCTGCAGTTCCGATAACCACTCCACAGTGTTGTTTCACCTGCTGTCCTCTGGTTCTAATGACCAGAGCTGTGAGTCCCCTGTGAGTCAAGAGTGCAGCAAGCTGTACATAATGAACACTAGATGGAACAAGATCCACTTTCTTTTTTGTCCTCTTGTTTTTTCTCCCATTATCTCCGTCCCTCTCCTCCGCTACATCAGCATCTTGCAGCTTTTCTCTTTCCCAGGTGCGCTGTTTTTTCATCCAACTGATATTAAAACCTTGCATTTCTAAAGCAGCTCCTTGGCAGGATTAATTAAGCCTCCCACTCCCCAGGGGGACACAACGTTCTCTTTGTGCACAGAGTAAACGAAACCAAAAGGAGATTCACATCTCTGCCTAAAGTACAATACAAGAAGAGTAAACAACCATTCAAAACACTAGTGGGAGGGTGGGAAAATGTTCTCTGAAATTTATCCTGACAAAACTTCACATTCCCACCGTTTGCGTCATCACCCAACCTGAAGAAACCCAGCGACGGGAGAGAAGCGAAGCAAGCCAACCTTGCAGTCCCGTGTAGGAATCGTTTTGGAGTTGTTACGGTTGTTGAAGCTGTCAATGCAGTGCTGAAATTTCTTGCTTATCAGAGCCTCATCTTCCCAGCTGCACTCAGCGTAGGGCAGCCCCATCCACTTACACAGGTACTCGGGGTCATTCGAGGAAGTTTTGCGACTGTTTGCTGCAAAATATACAAAAAAGCCCAAACTTCAGCAACTGTGGTTCCGCAGCTGAACTACAAGTGTGGTTCACAGGGGCAGTCTGAACCACCCACAGAACCACAAGACAGGTCTCAGCCGGTAGGAAAAGTTTAGAGGGACCAAAAAATGCTCCTTTACCTGGGAAATCTGAATGTCCTGTCGTCGCAGACTTACTGGTCTTCACAGCTGTGTTTGGAGAGAGAAGGGAAGGAAGGGTTTGGAGCGCAGGCAGCCAGCAGAGGGAGCAGGGCAGGCAGGCTGTCACTGCCACCCCCGACTTTCTTACAGGAATCATATGGAAATAGGTTAAACAGCTCTCCAAGCCAGTTCCCAAAGCAACTGGATGCTGGCGTCTCTGATTGACGTGACTGTGATATTACTGAAGCGTTTGGTAAGTCCTGGTTTTATTTTTAATAAGTAATCATGAAAATCTAATCCCTGAGCTGCCTTGCAGCCTAACCACATCTTCAACCGTGTCACAGAAAAGCCAGGCCTCTACTGCTGCTTTGGATGCAAACACCTTGCATCCAAAAGGCTGAAATCAAAGAACTTCAAATTCCCTTGGAAACTAGTGTATTACCCCATACTCCAGGCAAGGAGATTGATCGATTTGTATTGATTGTTAACTACAAGTCTGTAAACCTGGATTGCTACTGCTCAAATCCCTGAATTTCACACACTCAAATACATTTAACACCAGGTTTTTTTCTCCAGAGATACTGGAGGACAGGGAAGAAGAGAGAGCGACACACTCATTCTGCTGTCATTAGAGGTTAAAGTTCCCACATCTTTACAAAAGCGTTGGGTTCACTTACCAATTACTCTCTCCACAATTTGGTACTGTTTGTTCAGCTCTGAAGCTAGTTCTTGTTGGCAGTTGAAATATTCTACATCTTCAGGTGATACCTTGCCCAGCCTAGATGCAAAAAATAATAATAATAATAAAAAAAAAACACTCTAATGCTTCTGTCATAATGCTCATGGAAGCCACATATAGAAATTCTACTTTATATGGTTCTTCTATATAGTTCTGTCATTCAGACAAGTCACTGAAGCAGACTACTGCTTATATGACGTTTCTTAAAACTTCATATAATTAAGTCATTACTGAGAAGCAAACGTCATAGATGTTCATACTGTCTCCCTGTTAAATGACGTGTTATTCCGCTGCAAGAATCAGTCTCAAAACCAGAATCAAATAGAGATGGAAGCTGCTACTCCAGCTTTATCACTCTGGAAACACACCGTAGCTCCCCTCATAGTTCCCGGGGAGGTCGGACATAAACTGATGCAAAAACTTGCATACAGACAAGCCCATAATTAACAAGGGTTAATAAGGCTGCAAGCCCTCATGTCATCTCCCGGGCCAAGTGATTCTGTGCATCATTTATTTGTTGACAGCTATCCCAATTCTTAAGTCTGGGAAGTGGCGATACTGTGGATTTCATGCCTCTTCCTCTCTCTTTCAACACCATGGCTACAGACATCACCTCCACAAGGGGGGATGTTCATCAGTAGGCAGAGAGAGATGTGAGTCTTGCACACGGAAAACAGTTGCTTTGGATGAAACATGCTTTGCAAGAAGAAATCAAATGTCTTCAGTCATGACTCTGCAAACCTCTGGCTAAAAAAGATTTGCCCAAGACCAAATCACTGGTTGAAGTAAAGCATACCATTGCTTGATCTCCTCCTCTTTTTTCTTGAAGTTTTCTAGCTTTTTCAGGCCCTTCACTTTCTGCTGCTGCAGGGACTCTTCACTCTCCCACGTGCTATGGATGTACGACCAGCCTTTCCATTTGATCAGGTACTGAACTTCTCCCTCATCTTTTTCAGGATCAAAGTCTGCACTTGGGTTGCCATTGGCTTCAGTTGCATACACTGTGGTGGAAGCACCAGTGGCTGCAAAAGAAATCAGGCTGCAGTTGGTACCTTTGTTATCAAGCACTGGACATGAACTGCATTAGAGCAGAAAGTTATTTTTCTAATACGTCTTTTGTGACAGCACAAAGAATATCCTACAGATTCTGCAACCCAATAAGACAGGCACACAAAAGTTTCCCATACAACAGAATCTTTTTAAATCTCTGTCGTAAATGCCTTTTCTTTAAGTGTAATTCAAAGATCTCTTGAAAATGTTCACGACCGTTCAGTTTTACAAAAACACTTTTGTAAGGCTATGAGAACAAAACATTGGCTTTATTTCCATTATGACTTTGCCAATGGAGCTATGAAAACCGACTCTACTGGAGAAAGTATTTTATATTTCAAAGAGAAAAGCAAGAATTGCAGAACAATGACTGCATCTTTAAAACGTGTGCACGCTGTCAGAAAGCTGCTAAGCACACAAACTTGACATTTTAGGTTTTTCAATACTAAATTCAATTTCAATACTAAATTACTAAAAAGCTGCTAGAAGACATAAATAAGAGGCATAGAGGAAAGGGTGAAGAGCACTGAAACAACCCTTGGCCCCACTCTGAAGTTGCAAAAGCATCGCACCAGCTCAAGAGAAACTGTGAGCGCACGTGATTGACATCAGAAATAAAGGTTTTTTCCAGAACTACGCACCTCCTTTTTTTCCAAGCCTGATGTCCAAGACTTTCTCAATAGTTTCACTGTTGTCTTGTTGTTCATCAGCTCCTTCCCCAGTCATCTCTATCAGGTCATCAGAATCCGTCTCAAAATCATCATCCTCTTTGTAACTGAACAAGATCAAAACCAAACTGATAAAAAGCCCTTGATTCTCCCCAGTCCAGAAACACACAGAATGGCATAGACTGGAGCAAGCCTTCTCCAGCATCTATCCTGTGGTTCAGTGCACGTTCAGCACATGCATGTCTTAAGTCAGCCATTCAGCATTTTTCCCCCGAGACACTCAGACAGCTACACTTTATCAGACTAATACTCTATCTTGTCCATATAGTTTTTCTGACCGTGGTTGTCCTGGTCTGAGTGACGCAGGACTAATTTCTCTTCTAGTGCTTGGGAAAACTGCACTTTTAGAAGACTCTAGTGTCTGAATTGGTGAAAATATTTACTTTATAGCCAGCTATGGTGTGTGGGTTTCAAGGTCCCAGTGGTTTAGAGCCTATCCAGGTGTGGGGATGGGGAGGAGTGAGACCCGGGCACTCGACCCAAGCTGGCCAACAGGATTATTTCATACCGTGAACATCACATTCAATATAAATTAGAAAGTTTGCTAAGGATTTTTCTGTCTATGCTGAGAACTTCTTGCCCTGGTGCCGGATCCCTGAGCCCTTCCCTTCCTCCCGAAGCCGTAGCAGTGGCAGTGTCCCACATTTGCTGTCCCCTGCTGGGTGGGAGTGCACAGCTTCCTACCAGTATAATTGGCTAAGTATAATCCCTGTATATTTTATATTGGTATCAGTATCAATATTAGTTCTTTAGTATTATTAATGTTAATTATTTAGTTTTATTCTATTAAATCTGTTTCAGCCCTCAGGTTTCCTTGTTTTTTTCCCTGATTCCCCTTCCCGGGTGGGGAGCGTTCATCAGGTCATAGAATAATTGTCTAAACGACAATAAATTGTTGTGGGTTGCCCCAAACCATAACAATGGTCAACACCGGATGCCTCACAAGGAGCTGGTACAATCCCTGCAGGAGGAGCAAGCCATCAACAGAGAAAGTCTCCTCTATCTGGTGAAAGATTATTTTATGTTTAACAACGGAGGTTGCAGAGCATCAGGAGGTTGCATGGGTGCCTACACTGCCCTCAGAACTACCCTTCTCATCTTTGATGAACATTTAACCACCAGTCTTTATTAGGACTGCCAAAAGGCGAGAAGATATATTGGGGAATGGCTAATGCTTTACCTCCACCAGGTCTCAACGCTCTGACCCAAGGCATTACTGATCAGCCACTCTCAAGACAATTGGTCCAGCCTAGCACGGCTCATTTTACTCATTTTAATCTATTATTTGTAATTCTTAGTCTCATCTGAGAGCACTTTAGAAACATTACGCAAACCTCCTCACATTTCTCGAGGAGGTAAATATTCCCTCCTTTACAGATGGCAAAACAAGGTAAAGAGAAGTCAGATGTTTGCAGCATGAACCTGTCAAAAGAACCTCATCTCGGTCAACGGGTGGACATCTGCAGGGCAGAGGAGAGTCTCTCTGCAGGATCATGCAGGGAGTCAGGGCCCGCTGGTGCTCCCTCTTTCCCAGCGAGCCAGCTCTCATCATCAAGCAACCCCACACTTCTTGATACCTGACGTTTTTGGCTGCCCTTCGTCGAGTTTGTCTCTTGGGGGTCTCATCATCTTCGTCGTCATCGTCATCTTCGGACGAGTCCGGTCTCTTTCTCTTCTTCCCACGCTGGGGTTTGTGAGGCTTTTTAACACTGGTTTTGGCCACTGTTCTGAAATGAGAATTAATAGAAAGCCATAATACAGTGTGTTTTACATAAACATCCATTTTAGAAATGCCTTTAAGAAAGCACGAATCTCAACTATTAGACTCCTGGGGATTTAGTCTGCTCTAACTACCATGGAAACCACTGCATCACTCACCAGAGCATGAAATGGGCAGACAAGAGCGTAAGTAGGTCCTAGGTTTACCAGGTCGTAAACAAGGGTAATATTGCAGAAAAAAACAACCCTTCTTTAGCAACAAATAGAGATTACCTCTCCACCCAGCACAGGCAGAAAAGACATATGCAGAAAAAGAGACCGACTGAACCAAGCACTCCTTACCTCCTCTGGCCAGGTCTTCTTGCTTTAATTTTCTTCGGTTCAGGTTCACTCTCTCCACTGGTGCCTTGCTCCCCTCCATCTTCATCCTCTTCTTCACCAGAAATCTCTCTTTTCCATTTATTTCTACGGTCAGAAATGTAGGTCACGAAAGGTAATCATATTCCAACACAAATACTAGGCTAAAGCAGATATCCAAGCCATCTAGGTTAATACTAGTGGGGTATAATTACGAGAAAGAGTTCAAAACCGGACTCTTGGTTGTTCAGTGCAATGCATGGGGGATTTTATGGTGTGATCATCTGCTTTTAGGAAGAGGCATCCAGTCACCGAGGTTTTAGTTCACGTTGGGGCACTATATCTTGAGTGAGAGTGGCTCTTAACACACTCATACTACAACAGTGCTCATGGCAGAGCTGTACTTCTTGCAACTGGGTAGGTAAGTGCTTTGATTTATTTATTTTACTTTCCACATCTGCATTTCTGAAATGAGCTGGAAAAAAGCCTTAAGAGTGCTCGCTTTCACTTACGGAGTATAAGCCACAACATACACAGTTACACGATCTCCTTGTAGCCCTGAAAATGGAGCAAGAAGTCTCCTGCCATCTAAATTCAGGCAATTGAACTTTCCAAGCGTGAAGCCAAATCACATCATACCGTTAGTGGAAGGAAGCACGTTCTCTGTGGGCAATTCAGAGCAAAGCTGCAGCTCCAAAATGCCCTTTGAAGGACTCTCTCCTCTCCCTAAGGGGATGTCGAGAGTCCACAGGGATTATTTCCCTTTGCCGAGGAGAGGTCCATACCACAGTCCTCCCTGCACTTTATTATGTTCCCTCCTGCGCTGATGTGTACAACTAAATAAAAAATTAAGACAAGAAACAGGAGAAAAGGAGCAGGATCATGTGGCTGTGTTTAAGTTTTCTCCAGTTCCCTTCAGCTCACTTTAGTATCTGGAGAAACTAAAAGGTACTTTTTAGATAGAAAAAGGCAGTAAAATAGGACTGTAAGTGAACTTAGTGATGGTGATCAGACATCCAAAATATCCTTTTAATGGAAGTTCTTTTGTTTTAGCAGAGGGTTATAGAAGATAAAAGAGGATAACAATTTGGCATTTTATTCTCTATTAGAGGAGCAGGGATTAAACTATTTTAAGTATCTCTGAAGGAGAACAAGTAACCTGATGGAGAAGTGAAAGACTGACAACAGAAAGTGAACCTGACTTGTTCAGATCCTGTCACAGGCAATGTGGGAAAATATAAACAAAAGAAAAAGTTGGTAAATTGCATCATCTGTAGATCCCCATTCATCCTTCAATTTCAGTCATCCAAAGCATTATTACTGGAAATATTAAATAATTTCTTTTCCAAGCTCTCCATGTTGACAATGCCTATCGAACAATCCAGTACTATTATTCTGAAAAATAAACCAAGACAAAGTACCGCCATTCAAAACCCTTTCCCTAGAAACTTACGGTTTTTTCATTTGCTTCTGGCCTCTTCTTTTTGGGCTCTCATTTTCAGATTCGCTACTTGCCTTTAATTGAAAAGAGAGAAAATCAGGTTGTAGACTTCACTCCGGACTGTCTCCTCAAGGATGCAACTGAAACGCATGCACGCGGTGCGGGCTCGGACACGGCCCCACTGCTCTCTCACAGGATGCTTTGGTGCGACGGGGCTGCCAAAGAGCAGCTACCCGGCACCCTTCCCTCTACGCCGCCTCGGCTGTGCTCAAAGAAGGTAATTCTCTGCAGAAAGGTTGGAGAGATCTACTATAACATCTGCCCCGGAGTCCCTGAGGTCGGGATGCGCAAGGCTGCGACCCCTCAGCATCAACCTCCGACACCTGGAGATGCTGTCTCGGCAGTGGCCGGGCAGACCCGCAGTGTACCCCATGGATGACAAAACCACGGGGGGAATTTAACCCACCAAACCTCGCGCCGTCCCAGCGCCGGAGGCAAAAAGCACCTTAGAGCGAGCTCAGCTGCCGCCCCCTCTGCCTCTGTTGCACGGTGGGCATCGCTCCCGCCTGGCGCTCAAGAACCTGGCGGCAGCGTGACTTTGGGGTTCCCAAAGAGGATTTCCAGGGGCTGCCGCAGCGCTGAGGCGCAGCTCTTGCACGTGGCTTCTAACCCAAAGTGCAGAGCCTGAAGGTACAGCCATACGTGCCATTTTCAGCAAGAACCCCGCAATATTTGGGGGCGTTCAGGCTTAGTTTCTGCGACTGCAGAAACTTTTGCAGCCACACACACGCATCGCGATCTCTGCCTTCATTCGAGAAACTTCCTACAAGGAAGGAAATTCTTACAAAGAGACAATATTCTCATCACAAGAGTGTGGTTGCTTTCCTGTTTGTATGTTACTCCCACAGCAAAAGTCACTGAGGACCCGACTGGGTCAGAGCCATGTCCTGCTGCTTTCCTTCCTCCTAATCCTCCAGTCTCCACTGGTGAAGTCTCTCTGGCTAAATATATCTAGGGATATTCTAACTACTTGCTGTAATATTTTAATAGTGGGCGCCACCAACTCCCACAGACCAAGATAGCTAAAAAAAAAACCCCAATCTTTAGGCTGGTTGTACACAACTCCATTTTCGTAAAAACAGATTACCACACAAATAACACCCCTCAACCAACAGATGACTTCGCCTTACACACTTGCCCCAGAAAACACATATCAGCAGGGAGAAAACTGAAGAAACCGATGTGAGATTTCTACAGGAGTATTAAAATGACAGACAAAGCCTCCCAAGATTGCTCGCTCTACACACTTATCGGAAATCTTCCACTTCATACTGCTTTTTGCCGCAGTATTCAGCTTTAGCTCTAGGTAACATCTGTCCATCACCACGGGTACCTCAGTTTGCATCTCCTGGTACACCCACCACCTTCTCCTGGATACAGCTAGAGAAGCTTACAACCCAGAGCTGTTCGCATAAGAATTTTGTGACATGATGTGAGCTGCAACATGAAAAAGCCGAGGCTCTGGAGAGCCGTGGCCCACTCCTCTGCTTGCTTTCTGCATCCTTTATTTCCATTCTACAGCTTCCCTTCCACCCACAGAAATGTCCTTCTTGCTTGCATCAGCTTTTCCATTAAAACATACTGAAATACTGGATGCCGTGTCAGACCAAGAGCTTTGCTGAATTTCACTGTGGTTTGGTGGCAGATTTACACGTCACACGATAACACCTTTTGCACCATATCTTACTACGAACGCGTGTTCATCCACCTGTTTCATGGCCCTACGCGAAATCCCTGTCTCATAGACCAAGCATCCAGGAAACAAGTGACTGGCAAACACCACGGAGAGCCCTACCTACCCTTGCAACGCAAGCCAAGCATTCCACAGATTTCAATTTCGACACAGCCAAGTTTAAAAGTCCTCAGTTCTCTTCTTCTCTTTTAACCTCTTACCCACTTTCTGAAGCGTGCTGCTTTGCCATTCCAATTTTGGCACGTTTTTCGGGAGCTGTCCCTCAACACACGTTTACTTTGCGCTGTCTTTTGGCAAACCACAAGCAGAGAGAGGTGGAGTTTTCTTCTGCTCTGGGTCAGAGAAGATCAGATTTGGAGAAAACCAAGTACGACCTTTGGCTCTTTGAAACTATCTCTACTTCTTTTTGGCCAAAATTCCATTTTTCAAATTTCTACTGTCCGCTTTCCTAACACCGCTGGTCTTCCTCTGCTCTGTCACGGTCTCTACAAAGCCAACGCTCATCTCTTAACGACTCGTCTTTTCCTCACCTCTTTCCTCCTTGAAAAATTTAACTTGTGACTGCAATTCAGCTGCCTTCAGTTACATTTTTCAAAGACACCATTGTCTTTTTTGGATGCGTGTCAAGCCCAGCTCTATCTCCTCTGACACAGCCAGTCCCTAGCCTGAGTCATCTGCCTGCCTTGTGCTCCCACATCCTCCCTACCCGAGCGCTGGGAATTGCCGTGCCCGCAGCCCCGCGCAGCCACCGGTGACTCAGCCTCTCCTCCCGCTCCCTCGCCCACCACCGACCCGTGTCTCCTCCTCACCAACTCCTCCTGGCATCCTAACCCCGGGGTGCCAGGCTCCGCGGAGCCCCTGCCTGAAAGCTGCTTTCTACCATTTTATATATAAATAATAATATTAAAAAAAAAAAAAAGCATAAACACATTTTAGCAACCTCTTAATCCCGCTTAAATCCACATTTCAGGACGCTGCTGCAAAACTCTACGCTGATTTGCACAAATCAGCCCAAGGGGGAGATTTGCCCCTCTGCCCTGGGATCTGCAGCACAAACCCAGCTTGTGCTTGTATCGCCCCGTTACCGACATCAACCCACAGGCTCCGGCTGGTGGAAAACTCAGTTAAAGAAGTGCAGATGATAACCAGAGAGTTGGGAGCACGCCAGCTCCAGAGCGTGCATCCGAGGTCCCGTCTGCGCTCCAGCCTGCCACCCACCGCCATCAGGAAGCGGACCGGTTGGGAAATCGCATGCAACTTCCAGTTTTAATAACATCACCTCCCTGAATGACACAAGCTAAGGTGACAAAATCCATCTCCAGTCCCTACCGAGGTTTTTGTCAGCCCAGCACGACATGCCGGGTGCACGGGTGCGCGCTCCTCGCGCTCAGAGCCCACGTATCAGCGCTGGCGAAACTCTACTGGGTTCAGGCTGCCCCTCTGGGATGCCGCTGCCAAGGAGAAAGATGACTTGCCTTCCCTTGTTCGCCTTTCTCCTACCAAACACTATAAACGTGCCCAACTTATTCCGGAACCACTACTTCCAACTGGACTAGGAACTGGCCTCTTACAATTTGCTTTCCCCGCCTTCAGCTGGAGGGATCAGCCTTCCCTCTCTGTGCCTCACCGACACCTCCCTTCTAATTTATTCTTTCTTTCTCTCCCAGCACTTCAAATGCTTTTACTAGATTAAAATATGCTGTATTTTGCCCTGGAGCAGTGCTGTACAAAACAAAACGATGCTGCATACGTAGCACCAAGTAGGGCAACACAGCAGCAGCTTTAAAGTTCTGGTCCTACAGGTTGTCCACCAGCATCCTCACTGCTGGCCCACGACAGGAGAAGCGGAGACCAAAGGCCACTGGCACGGTCCAGGTGAGTCTTTTGAGCTCATGCTGTCTACTAGGAGAGATGAAGACTTGCTTAGAAGCAAGAAATATTTCAGACTAAAGTCAAAGTGAGGATTTGCTCGTTTCAGGCTTAACAGAGGCCGAGGGCTAGTGCTCCGGAAAAGCTGGAGAACCTCAGCTCACCGGGTTAGTTTTCTTATGTCTGCTGAACGTCTCTCTCCCAGCAATACCAGCAGCATTTGAACTTTCAACAAAGACATGAGGCAGAGCATTAATGAAAATGCAAATGAGCAGAGTATTTTTTTCCATAATAAAACCAACTGTATTTTGGGAACACCTCTGGTGCGTGACTTGTGGCCTCCCTCTTGCAGAACAGATGCACCGTGCCATTTATTACTAACTCCAATCTCAAACCGTCCTTTTTATAGCAAAAAGATTGCGTCTACTTTGGGCACGTTTATTTCTCGACTGCCCCAGAATACTCTACAAGGCACCTGGCTCTGCACGTCTCACTTCCCCTGACCGAAACCTGAAGCTGATTTATTAACTGCAAAGAAAACGCACGGGCAAGTACTGTTTTTACTAAAAAAACTCATGTGTGCTCTTATTCCTGGAGACAGCTCTAGTCCTCCGAGCAGCTCTGTACTCCTATGCAAAACTGCGTTTTCGCTTCCTGATCCTCCAGCCCACGCTCGGTATTGATCACACGTTATCACCCTCTCCGACGGCAGCTCCGAGACCTACACCGTGCGTGCCTGGTGACCTCCGGGCAATTTCCAGAAGGCAAATCATTTCTAACACAGAAATAACCCTGCCCAAACTGCCGGTCTCAGAGGATAGACTAGTGATTGAAGAGCGCCCCAAAAAAGAACTGAACGACCTCCACCTACGCGCCATCTCCCCCGAGCGGGGTGAGTCACGGGGCAGCACGCGGGGAGGTGCGATGGCTGCTTCTCGTCCTGCGCTCTGAGCCTGCCACGCTGCCCGGGCGACGCTGTTTGCTAACACGGCAGAAAAGCGTTAGGGAAGAAGGCAATTAAAAGCTCCTAGACACTGTGCTGGAAGTCCCAAGCAGCAAGCGACAAGAGCAGGTCACTGGCGACAGGATTAACCCTGTAAAGGTAAAAAGCAATCTTAAGAGGTGTCAAGTGCCTTGGGGTTTCTGCCAGCTCCAGCAGCAGTAAGGAGTGCTCAGCACCACGCAGGCTCGAGCTACGCTATTTCCTCCCTCTCGGTGTTTAGGTCTTCCAAAAGCAAGACTTTCCATCTCCTCCTGCTCTTCGCGAGGCCCCAGCACTGTGCTCCTGACATGTCACACCCTCCATCGGACTCTGCTGCAGATGGGAGTTGCCCTACGGGGACCAGTCGGTGTGGCTTTGGGGAGGCTGGGGGGG